GAGAAAAACTGAGTCAGTTTCTCGAAGGAAAACGGTACACATCTCCGTTCGAGATTTCCCAGTATCCGTTCACGATTCATTAATTCACACTGCAACCGAATTATTGAACATCCCACGTATTTCGGGCAGGTTAATACCCGCGGAACAGTTGAGCATTCGATGACGAGTATGCGGATGAGCCTGCTGCGAACAAACGTGAACTTAACAAAAGTCACTTCACACGAGTTTAGAATTTACACACACAAATTCTGCATTTTTCTTCAATTCTCAATTCTGTACGCGAAGAAGGTTTAAATCACCTCAAATGTCTCGTGTGAAACGACCTTTTAAACAGTCATCGGAATATCTTACGTTACCCTTTCTAACCCTAATAATTCGCTGTCGCAGATTACGCGTGATTTTCCCTGAAAGTCGTTGCCTCTGAGTTTCCAGCGGGAATCGGTAATCCGCTCGATCAGGTCCCATTTTATCGTTCTTGCGCCCCCGTTCGAACGATTTTCGTGATTGCTTACCCTCCTTACCTTACCCAACTATATCTGGTCGCGTTCCCATCTACGCGTGGAACCACTGTTACAAAACGTTCGACTTGTCTCCTTGTTTCTCTTCTCTCCCCATTTGTTGCTTCTATTTGTACTTCGTTGTGCACACGCCTGACACACATGAGAGCTTCTTCCCGCGTGGATGCTCGTTTATAAACGGTACGGCGCGTCGGACGCATCGTTTGCTACCCTGTTTGATCTTCGATACATAATCTCTTATTATTATCGTTTGTATCGTTTCGCAACGACGATTCCTCGTTGGAGGAAAGACTCACACGATTGCCGGCGGTACGACTGTCCCAGAGCAGCGTTCCGAGATTCTTCTAATCGTTCTTGCATGCGAACGAACCTTCCGACTCGAGAGACTTAGGGGACGAGATTCACCGATCTCGACTAACTCTAATGGGTACTGCGATCGTCGATCGAGACAGCTGTCTCGCGACGAACGGTTCCCGTACATTTACATCGATAAAGTGGACACACAATACGGATTGGTTACATTTACGGACGATATAACATGGACCCGTGTTCGAATCACCGCGCGATCGTGGACGTCGGGCGTTCAGTTTGACGGAGAAGTGTCCAGCCAACCTAGAGGCACCAAAATTGGCGCGTATCGGTTTGCTGATATTTTCTGTAAAGGCAGGATTTTCTATAAGCTGCGTCTGAAGCAAACGTTCGTCAGATGTTTCATGTTCAAGATAATAGAGTAGAGTGAGGAGACATACATAGGTCACATCTCGTTCAAATGCAGACGCGGGTTCTGACGCTTCTAGGAAATCCCGCTTTTACAGGGAACACGAGACGCACCAAGTTTTTTGAAGCTTTGCCCAGAAGTAAAGGAATTAAAAATATTCAACAGATGTTTCTTGTTATCAACTGCGATTCATGTTTAGGAGATGGAGAACTGCTAAGTCAAATAACGTGAAAACAAGGGGACGTGGAAAGAAATTTTAATAACAGAAGTTTATTGATTTTTTGCGAGGAACTTTAGGGTGCCAAAACTTAAGATATTTTCTCAACCATATTTTCAGGATATAAGAAGCGCCTAGCGGTGGATGACTATAGTTACCTTTAATGCACATTGATCGTTCTACGTTGAATGACCATAGTCAGCTTTAGTACCGAAAGGGTTAACAGAAATTGTATAAAATGGCTGGATGCTTCCACGATCAACTGTCACCCGACAAACCTTCCGTATAATTACGAAACAATTCGATAACCCGCGGCGAAAGTGACATTTTCCAAAAACACATATCTTGCTTGTGTATTCTTTACTTGGACTACACACGCTCAGGTAGACCAGTACAGGCACATCTATGCAGGTCCATCAGATGTTCGTAGTTCATCCACACGTTCCAGTATTTGCTCCAGTATTTATCTGTACAGGTGAAAATAACTGCACGGTTTTAACGTATACACTTTCGTCTTTACACCTGCGCAGGTCTATCCGAGCGAGTGTAACCGATTTTCGTGTACTCACCGGTTCCTTTCCATTTTGGTCGATTCTTCGACTGCCATTATTTTACATACAAGTGTGTGTATGTACTCGTATTTATATATTTACATGTATAGAATATATAGATGCAGTACATCGAAATGTTATCGGCCGTTCGCAAGTCACGGCCGCGGAATAGAATCTCTGATGTGCTCGTTTAATTGACACTTATTGATCTTCTCAGGACGTACGCTGTGACGCGTCGCCATTCATCTTAAACGCTAGCCCCCTTGTTCTTACATAATAGTTTACAGACAACGGTTCCACAGGTTTAGAGGCTTTAAACATTGTATCGGCTTAATTATCACTCGATAATCACGGCTCGACAACAGACACGAACGGAATACATATTGTTTTGGTTGTACACCGACAACACGAGACGCGTAACTCGCCATCTCGATTTTTCAAGATGGACACGGATTCGAAAAAACATCAAACATTCTAGTTTACATCGATTGCGGATTATTCGGGCTTAACTGTTAACTGACCGGTCAGTGCGTGGAGAATACTTTAGAATTCCTGGAAAATTCTGGAACTAAGAAGAAATGAAGTGGCCTATGCAGCCTAGAGCTTCGTGTGGTCAGGAGTTTACTGTGGGCTTCAATGTTTTTAGGTCGTTTTTAGGCCATTTACTTTGATTAGGATTTTCTATCCTACTTTGATTCTGATTACGATTTATCTGATTTACTTTGACTAATAAAAGGATCATTTTTGGCATAGAATCACAAAAGTAAACAGGCTACGTTGATTCAGAATTTACAGCATTTAGTGTACTATTCAAATAATTAAGAGAATTTTAATGAGAGATTAAAGAAGCTCTTCAATCCGTTACCCTTCTTCTTTAACTTAAGGGAACTTATAAAAATATTGATCTATTGCGTCAAGTTTTAGCTCGAATTTCTGTGAATTTCTCATTAAAAATCGATATTCATTGTTCGTTAAATAATTGATTCGAAAGATTTGAACTAAAGGGTGCAGAAACTGATTTCAGGTTATCAAAACGTCATTAGCAATCGGAATAACCAACGATAATTTACCGAACAGAGGACAGTTGGTAAATATATCATATTTCAATAAGTACAATAAGTCCACGGCTTGACTATCAGGTAACAGCTAAAACAATGGTGTTACAGCGCGTGTTTTAATACCGCACCCCGCATAACAAATATTATGAATGGAACCCCATAACCACCGGTAAAAACATTTATAAAAGTGGATCGTACAATGAAATATCTACCAACGGATCATCACGTTACAATTGAACATTACCTAGTCGATAATACAGCGATAATCTCGTCAATATGTTCGGACAACGAATCTGTACGTTTCATGATCGTTACGTTTCGCCTCTCATCCTTTCCCAACGATTCAGCTCGAGGACTTCGAAAAGAATAACAGAATTAGCTCGCTTACCTTTGTATCCATCATTTTTTGAAAACATCACCAACGATCCATTTCTTAGATCTTCCGTGAACCACTCGTCTATACATCCATATTATACATCCGCGGTAAGGTGTTCAATTTGTCTCGAACAGGGTGGAAAGCGTTCCAATTCGCCATCAGAAATCCTCAATCTGTCGTCGATACAATCAACTTATTCTCGAAAACCCTTAATCTTCTGTTACTTTGAAAGGTGTTAAATCCTCGACGCCTACTTCGAGTCTCCTAAAATCTTCAATTTGTTCTCTTCCCTTAACAAGACCTCAACTCTCTCATCCCTTTAGGACCGCAGACGCCACGCCCTCTTCTCGCGAGGGGAGCACTTCACTTCCTGTGATCCTTGACGTATCTCTCGGAAGATATTCCAGCTCACCTCTTGAGATTCAAACCACGCGGTTACCTCTCAAAAATCTGCTCAACTCGCATCCCGTGGATCACACGTCGTTCTCTCATCTCGTCGCACAACATCTGACCTTCCAAAATCCTTCACGAACGTGGTCTTCTAGGCGAAAATATTCAACTATTCCTTCTTGACATTCGAATCACGTACTTTTTTTCACTTCGATGGTGTTCAGATCCGTAAAATCTTCGATACATATTATGTCGCCTTTAATGAAACAATATTCAACTCCCATCCTCTTATTCAGAACATTTACCTCCATTCACAATAAACATTTAATTATTCCATTGAAGAGTGTTACACCGACGAAATTCTTGAAACAATTAGCCGCGAGGCGGACTCGCTCAAAGAAGCTCTCAAAAGAATCAGAAAGCGTTAGAGTGTCATAGCGGCCGTGTTACGGCGAAGCGGTTTTCAGGCGTAGATCGATAGAAGTGGATCCTTGCGGACCCGATATTCACATCTGGCGGCGATAGAGATCGATTGTTACAACCCATTCGTCCGTTCTTCAAAAATTCGATCGGACCGCGGTCTGATCTTCTCCTCGCTGATCTGCCCCATCCTCGAAGAAAAGCTCTGTTTTCCTCGTCGATTCTATTCCCCCTCCGCAAACGGCTCAAACGGTACTCAGCGAACAGGAATTCACGGGGAATCCCCCTCGGTGAGCTTTCACACCATTTTCTACGAAGCCATCTTCCAACGCCGCCTCGACGGTTTAACCGAGGGGGTTCTTTATCAGAACACCTCGATCGGAGATTGATCGGAACAACTCGATGTCAAACGATCGTCACGATTATCCTTCCTTGGTTTCACCGAGGGAATCATTCCGTTTCATTTTTTTTTTCCTTCGGGAACCGTCGACGAACGGTCTTTCTTCTCGATTCCTCCGAAAGTTTAATTCTCTTCGTCACCGAGGAAACATGAAATAGAGTTTAAAGTTGTCATGTTTGATTTTTTTCTTTACTATAACATCCATAGAGTCACGACAAGGTAGTTAATTTTTTTTTTCTATTTTTTTCTGTTTTGCGTTCGAGAACATCTTCGTATAGTGTATCGATGGTCCCGTGGTTAAGTGACAAACTGACGATTCCCGTCGTACAACGACAGATCGAATGTTGCTTTGTGCTTTAATAATTTCTCGTCCGATCCGTCGTCGTCCCACTCAGCCACGATTTGCGATGCTACTTTACCGCCCCGACCCGTACGCTTGATATTACTCATCCTCGTGACACACTTGACTTCGTCGTCGGAGACGTGCACGAAATTCTCAAAGTTTCTGGTATCCTCGTTCTGTTCCACGACAGTCTTCAAAATGTGCTCCTGAAAGAAACTGTTCGTCGTCCATGTGGTGTCTGTGGCCACTTTTTTTAGTCGTATGGATCTTCCAGGTTATCTGTATCTGAAAAGAAAAACAATGCATCGTGACGAACAGATTAGATTGTCGAATGGTGGTTTTACGAGCATTCCAAAAACGGATTTAAACTCGCGGACTTTGAAACCGCCCTTACAGTTCAGCATCGAAACTAGTCACAACCAACGATAAACGTCTCGCCAAGGAACGGCGTTTTCCCCACGGGCCGAGATAAAAGCTTGCTCTTTCGCAGGGGGGAGCTTTAGCTCGCGGCACGAACGCGCCAGGAGAACCTGGTCGACGCTGGATGCTTGGCCGGCTGGCTTGCATGTCGTGTGATTCTTTCGATTGGTCTCGGGCCGATCACGCGAGCCGGTTAACGCGAAGATAGGACGAAACCGAGAGGATCGCAAAAACCGGACGGTTTCCTCCGGAGTGGCACGCGAGACCCCCGTGGGAGGGGACAAGGGCGGGAGGAGAGGAGGAGGAGGAGTGTGGGGGCGGGGCGGGGCAGGAGGAGTACGGAAGGGGGTGGAGCCGCCGCCTCCTCGATATTTACGAGCCCTCCGCGGCGGCACGCGACCAAATTCGTTGACCTACTATTTTGCACGTACACCCGGTGAACGTGTGGAACGGGTGTGTGTAAGTACGTGCACGTACCGCTGATTGCTCTCGGAACGCGGCGGCGCTTTGACGCCGTATGCGGAACACTCGGGGCGATGCGCGGTGACCCAGTACACACCGGCCACGGTTTCGACGCGTGTCGCTCTCACTCCGCAAGGCGGCCGTTCTGGGGGTGACAGACGTATCCGTACGTCAGACTCGGGTGGGCGAAAGAAGTTCGTTGACGTCGCGATTATAGGTCGGCCAGTGTGGATGGTTCGAGAGCACTTGGCGAATGAGGGACTTCGATGAAAGCTGAAGGATTTACGTATACGTCGGATGGGAACGGTGGATGACATTTATTGAACCGATTTGAATGCTCGCACAGAGTTGTAACCCCGTATCCGCTGATTAAGTATCCGTGGTTTATTGCTGCGCGCAAAGAAACTACTGTACAAGATACTATACAGTACATGTATAGGCGGTGGAATCTATAGGGTATAGCTGTAGTAAAAATAAGTCGAAAAATGGAATAGAATTTTTCTGTTTGAGGCTTCTTTTTCGAGATAATCGAATTTAAAAGTGTATTGGATACGCGGACAGTAGAATAAGACTTGGCTACCGCGTCTGTTCATCGCAGGCCGTTTGTACTTATAGCCAGCACGTGATTTAATTCAAGGTTCAAATTTCTATTTTTCGAAAACGATGTCTTAAATGAAGAAATGTTATTCTTTTCTTTTCTTCGATTTATTTTTGTATGTAGAACCACCACCTGGCCAGTTGTAACACAATTTTGGGGATTTCCTGAATAGTGTTCAGTACTATCCGCGGTTTCAAGTAACCGCGACAGGTCTTGGAACGTATTACCCGCGGATATAAGGGCACTACTCTACTGTGGATTGGAGTTTGGATGGATTTAACGAGATAGGGGATGTGTGGGATGGCTGGAGAAAGGGTTACAAACGGATTAAGAAAATATCGTTGGTACAATGGTGAAGTTACGAAACTGCAAGAACATTATTTCTCAGGGGAGAAGAAAACTATTTCGTCAAAATAAAGTTCACTTTACTTGAACATTCCAATTATGGAATCTTCCTCACAATAAGTCCAACATTTTCGGATCAGTATATCAGTCACCTGCTTATTACAACCTTCGTTTTACCTTTTTAAAACAGTGTATGTCATTTTCTTTGTCCGACGATAAAGAGCGTCCCTTATTCCTCTCAAAATATTGATCACCGCAGACGCGTCTGTATTTAATACCTAAACGAAAGGATTCATTTCGCGTGTCGTTTAAACGGACAGTTTGTTTGTCAGTCTCTCTCACGAATGAAAAAAGTAAGCGTGTTCATCCCGGCGGACTTTTTCCTTTCTGTTGATGACATTCGAACTGAAACACCAGAATTAACCTGTCGAGTGCACGTTGCACACGCACGGATTCGCGGAGGCGAATGTGGGACGCCGCGGTTTATCGCGTCGTTAACCACGAATCGTATCGGGGCCGAATTCCGCAGTTTCGTGATTCAACGATCCCTGTCGCAGTGTATCGCACCGATGGATCGCGCGAACACGTCGACGGGGTAGGGTGGGGATCGACGCGATTTCAACTCGATTCTTGTCCAGCCGACAGTGATTTACTATGCAGAAATCGTAAGCGAATCAAATTAGCTGGACCATCTGCAGTCACACGAATTGCCATTATTGGCTAATAAGGGATGTTCGTGTAGCGGTACACGCAGATTTTTCTACTCTTTCTATCCGAAGCGTCCCCTTTACCGATTCAAGTAAAGAGGAAACAAATTTTTACAAAATCATCATTTTGAACATTTCTTCCTACCGATATGTCGACAACTAAAAACAACATCGAATTCAAGGGAATAAGTAAAAGGAACGCCTCGGATAGAAAGGGTGGTTTCTCCCTTAAAATCTAAAGGTAGCACCAACCAAGTAAGGCAAAATTCTTAGGTTGATCGCATAAAAAATGAGCAGTTACTGAAAATTTCTGTGTAAATGTCCCTTGTAAATCGATCATATCCATAAATCGATCGCATGACGAAGAACACGAGGGAAGCACATCGAGATACAGTGAGATAGAGCGATAATGTGAGCTGTTCAGTTACTCGGCAACTTGCGATCTCGGCACAATACACTGTCGAAACTGATTCGGATCCGATTAATAACCTCTTACCTTTCCGGTAACGGCCAGCCGAGAATTCTAAATGAGGTCAGCACTAACATCACGAACACCGTGATCGCGAAAGTCATGTGGATTACGCCGAGATGTACCATGGAGAAGATGTACAGTGTCTTGTCGCAGAACATATCTGGATTGTAGATCTGGGCCTCGTGTAGCGGCCACATAATATGGAGAATCCAGTAATTCCCTGGAACAAAGAATCGAAGGTGGGACGTTTAACACAGAAGGAATTAAATGTTTAATTTGATAGTGGATCGTTCCTCAATCGAAATGGGTGATTGAATTCTAGAGGGTTAACCAAGTATGCGTTTCAATATTTTAAAGGGTTGTAGAAGAGCTCTAACGAAATTAAATTGTTGTCGGGACATTTTGAATGTACAATATTGAACAAATAAATTCAGACACGAACGTTTTTATTTTTCTTCGTTGTCATGGTGATGTCACTAAAGTTCTGCTCTGTGGAGTGTTTAATATTACAGAACATAAAATAAGTTTTATTTAGCTGGACAAAAATATATGGACTTTTCATTTGCAAGCATAGATTGCAATCTGAAATATGAGTTTCATAAGAATCATCGTATTATATCAACATTTTAATCATTTTTTAAACATTGAACTTTGATCAACAGCCAGCCATTAGTGTAGATAGGTATCTACACATTTGCAAACTTCAGGCAGTTCTGTTAATTAATTTTTTTTTTTTTGGTTCAATAGAGATGGTGAATTGAAAAAAGAATGTGTTTTTTAGTCACAGGATATTTCTCCGTTTTCTTTTTCAAGTCCTGCCTGTCACGAAATATAGTTTATCAGTGGTATATGGAAACACGTAATTTAATTGCCGGCAGTTCTACCGAATTAATTCCTGAATAATCACGGTTACGACGCGCTTATAGCATAATTCGGAATAAGGACATCATTCACTATGACCGAAGAAGTAGAAATTAGGTGTTCATTAGCTCGAATCCAACGCGATCGGATCTGCAAATGCGCGTGGCAAGTAGCTTGTAACTACGTAGGCGTGATCACGAACGAGAATTAGGTTGCATCGGAACAACTAACAAATCCACACCGACTCGCGGGCGATGCGATCGATCGTCTTTATACATTCGAATCGAGCATATGTACTAGATATTCCAGTCAAATTTAATACAGACATGGTACACCTTCCTGTAACAGTTCAAAATATTTGAAACTCTCTGTTATTAGAAGAACCTGAAAGTAGATCGGTGATAAGCTTCTAAAACACGTTTTGTTCCATTGGAGCTCACCTACCACCTCTATAAATATTTCAACGTGTAATCAAGTATCTACACTGTGCATATATTTCCTTCATAACGTCAATAACATCGATCAGTGTTAATTATATTCCCGGTATTGTCCATTGCAATAATGACAAAAGGTTCTCGATAATATTTCCCAAAGTGTAGAAACCCTTAGGAACAGCCGTATGTAAGAATGTCACGAATATTAGAATAAATCGTATTTCCATCGATCCGTTGCCATTACGACTCGGTATGTCTCTTCCATAACGAATGGATCCGTCAACCGATCCTCCGGAATTTTATACTGGACGGGTGAATTCGTCTTATACGCCATCTTGGCGTCCACAGGCAAGTGCAAATGCGCGTGGTGCATCAGCCGTTCGAGCACGTAAGTCGGTGCTCGCGATAAAAGCATTAAAATACGAGGACAGCTGAACGAAGCACCCACACCGCGGCTGTGGACGTGTGATCGATCTGTTTCCTGCGGGGAACAAGGACTCGAGCGAGATAGAACCCATCCGGGTACCAGCAGGAGACATAAAGAACCATCGTATTTCTCCCTGGCGTCCCATCGTGTCTCGAATTTCACCCGCTATCCCACCCACTCCCTTTACTTACCCATCGCGAACCAAACAGCCAGGAAGCATGATAAGACGACGGTAATCAGTTTTACGAAGGATATTTGCGGCACCGGCGGCGGTACCGTCAGGATCTCCAGTCTTCTTGACCGTATCTGCGAGTAAGTTACCAGAAACATGAATATGGAGCCTAGGGTCCCTCCTATGATCATGTAGATTGGGATACCATCTTCTTGGGGACAATGTCTGGAGTATTTCCAGCCTGGAACAGAAAGGTTGGGATCGTCGAAATAAGGTTTCGTGGATTTTCTCGTCGTATGCTGTGTAAACGATAGAGCTCCCGTAGCCACTTTTCTTTGATGTTACAGGAATTAGGTGAAGAGGAATTGAAGACGACTCGAGTAACTTAGTTCGTCGAAACAGTACTTGTTACACAAATCTTATTATTTATCGCAGAACTAGTTGTACTTTATCCTGACGTACGAAAACATGGAAGTAAACAAGCATCTCTTTAAGTAGCTATTTGAATAAAAATACAATATTCTAAAAATAATATTAGAGAACAAGAGAATAGCAACTAGTTCATTCCTGGTTTCAAATACAACCGCGGTTCCTCAGATTCCGCCTCAGCAAGGGTTAGTAATACTGAACGAGAAAAGACTACAATAAGAAAGAACACTTATGAACGACCTGTATTAATAAAAATAATGTTAAAAACGCTTTGAAAATTCGCTGTAGCACCTAATAGTATCAATATCCAACTGTATATAATATTATTTAATTGCGAATGTTAGAAAAGAGGAGTCAATATTTTAGTGAATATTTTCGTTTTTATTAATCAACGATTTGTTCTCGTCCCACCATTTCCAACGCAGTTTACTTTTGCTATTCGACTATGAACCGATCCTTTCCTCTAATCGTCAATAAAAATCATCGATTATACTTCAACGCGCCACATTATACCTAAATTCTGCGTACCTTTTCTGTTTTCATCCTTGTTTATCATCGTACCAACAAACGATTACGCGTGGATCGATATCAATAAGTTTTCGCACGGACTCCGTTGAATAATGTAACCGGTAATGACGTTGCCTGACTTCTACTCACTGTGTCACGTCCTATTTCGATACTTAACTAAAGGCGACGCGGCATGCGAACTCCTCCACGACCCGTCCGACCCCCCCTCTTAACCTTATCACGAGTTCGTATCCCCACAGGTAGCGAAAAATTTTCGAAGTCGAAAGAAAGTGTTTAATAGAGTGAGGGGATATATTCTCGGGAAAGACTAATTTCGGATGCGTGAAACGGTGTGTGAAAATTAATATTTTAATTTCTTTTAAACATTATTTTCACACTTTCAGTATTTATTTACTATTGTCTAAATATTCAACTCATATTTTGTAAATATTTCTTTTATGTTCTTTGAATATTTAGTTTACATTCTTTAAATATTTATTTTTTATTTCCTGTATATGTATACAATATTTGGATTCAATATTTATTTCATATTAAAAAGTGTAGCTCAAAAAATATTTTTTCAATATTTGAAAAACATATTTAACTATTATTATTTGTGCTACTAGGGATCCTTTTCCAAGGTCCAACACATTCACTCAAGATTCACATCTCTCGAGTATTAAAATTCGACTTTATATTCCAATATAATAATAATAATAATAATAATAATCTTTATTTTCAGCCTCACGGCTAAGAAGTTGACTTGGTTTACTTTACCTAATTTCTCCATCTCTACCTTAACCTTACACTCCTCTCATACACTCTTCACACTCATTCTCCTTACTGACACTATTTTACTAACCTGTTTCTATTACTTTCTTTCTTTTTCATTCATATTCCAATGTAATACAACCTAATGTCTACAACGGCATGCATACAATTAAAGAAGAAACTCGACGGGTATTCGTCGCAAAATCGGTAGTAAGCAGATCACGTCTCGCGGTGCCATTCGTTTTGTTCCCCCCCTACCCTCGAGCTCAATTGAATTCGAATGAAAATTCCGTCGTTGGGCAAGAACTTCCGTTACGACGATCCGAAGTGTCAAGCTCCATTTACCACCGCGTCCGATCGATTTTATTACAAAGCTCCGCCGCGAACGTTCACCGACGGTAATTTCCTCGTTTCCACGAACCGCAACGGCTCCGTTGTATCGATCCTGGGAATGCTCTACTCGCGGACCGCGGAGGTCTCGAGGAAAGGGGGTGAATGCGCCCCCGCGGTCCCGTCGATTCCACCCGCGAAAATCTATGCCTTCGCGGGACCAGGCCACCAGGGGAGAAAAAAAAAAACTAAGCGAGCTTGCATGTCGTAAATAGCGCAGACGGCCTGTTCGCGTGTCGTGAACCCGTCAATTAGCACGGAAACGATGCCAGCGTTTCGTGTAGTTTTCGCAAGATCGCGACGCCGAGACACACGAGACGCGTTCTCGTAACGCCGCGATCGAAATGATCGAGTTAGGGGGATTATTATTTGGTGTGAAAAGTGACGTAAAAAATAACGCCGAAGAGCCCCTAGGGGTGTACGAATCGTTGATTTGTTTGAAAAACATTTGAGCTACTTGAAAAACTGAAACGGTTCTAATGTCTACTAAGGCACGAAAATAGTTAAGGAACTCTGAATACTCGAGCCCTCGTAAGACTTCGATTTACTTGAAGATGAATTTTCAGCTCGATCGAATTATTCGACTATATTCGTACAGACCTCTGACTTGCGAGTTACTCGTAAATATTCGAATTACTCGAATATTTATCTATTTACTATCGAATACTAATGTAACTGTAAGGGAAAAGAATCATTTGCAGAGATGAAAATAAAGCAAAAACATTCAATTGGAGTCTTACGTTCTTAAACAATAATCTGTAGTTCAAAAGAGCGTAACCTTCTAAAATCTGACGGAACAAAGTCTTGAACTCGAAATAAAGTATAATTAAAATCTAATAAGATCCAATTTGGTCTTGTTAAATTACCTCTACTCGAAATGATTAACGACTTCCTTCTAATAATTGCAGATTCACAGACATTATTTTTGTCTCTCGGACCCGGATCGATGATTAGCTTGGGCTGTGTAATGAAAATTGCAGCGAACCGTCTCAGTTTGGATTATTCATCTATGGGGTCGTGGCTGTCGACGAAGTGACATATAACGTATATACGTCGCAAGAGGGAGGCACGAGGATTGACCCAATTCAGATGGTATCCGCAGTTAATTAAGCGGTAATTAAAAAAGGAAAACTGAGTTTTCATTCATGGTAAAGCACACAATAGGGAACTGTACGTGTGAGAGGGCTTAAAGTATCAGCGCGTATTCGTTCGAAACGATTGTTTCAGACGTGAAGTGTGTATTTTCATTTCAACGCATTCTCAATTCACTGGCATTTGCGAAAAATGTGACTTTGCATTGTGCAACTGAATTTACCAGTTCGGTATGATGTGATTGATATGCAATCACTTACTGTGATCTCGAGTCGACATTAACATCTTAAGTCCTAAATGGGTAGGTAAATATACTATATTATACATATATACTGCACGAACTATACATATATTCAAACTTCATAACTGGATGTTCACGTCACTACCGCCAGTGTGCTTTCTGCAAAAGGTGAGTGTATAGAAAATCTGAGATAGCAAAAAGCTTTACAGTCTTTCACGACCTCGTTTTTATTTGATGGTCAATAAATGATGTGCTTTTATCGTTCATACGTTATTCGAAATTTTTTTAACGTAGATAAAAACTTCATCCACATTTGATCGTCGGATACGATGATCCTTTTTCACATGAACCGTTGACATGGGACGAAAAATGGCCCATCCATGAAAAAAAAAATCGTTAAGCCAAGAGGATCCATCAACGTCAATGGTACATTGATAATAAATAAGCGTACTTGAAAACTGATCTTTTATTACTGAAACCTGACGGCAGTTAATAAAGCATTCGTCAAATCTATCGTTGCACCGTCCGCGAAACACTGTGTTCATCGAATGATAAACTGGCGGAATTGAGGTAAGTAAACAATCCGGTGGAGTTCGAACGGAGAGCGTGACCCATGAGTGAAATTAATGGAACTGAGGTCAAGGGGTCAGACCATCCTCTAGTGTGTTCAGAAAATACCATATTTTTGGGAATTTATTTCTATGCGATAAAAAGCACTTCATTCGATCAAAATTTTTCAAGAAAGACAGAGACCACTAACAACGAACCTTGCACTAGACAGAAGCTATTAATGTGAAAATTTACGGGATTTGAATGCTATTCGTGACATGCTATTTTCTACCTTCAGCAGTACTAACGGTGGAGGTAAAAACGGATGGTAGTTTCGGGAGAATCGACAACTCTTGGCATTACGTTAACTATCGATAACTAGTTCGATATGAAGTATTGATTCGGTGCATTTATGGATTGTACCCGACTACATTCATAAATTTGTTTTCCATTACTTGGAGGTATTCGAAGTTTACTTAATTATTAGTTCAGTTGCACCCGCCGGTTAAAATTGCAAAACATTGTACTGTAAGATTATTATCATTTATAAACATTATGAGCCTTCTACTGTTCTAATCTTTTTATCCTTCCATTTGTTTGGTTAAAATTTCGTTAAGATTCGTTAAAATCACGTATTCTATTTACGAGATATATTGGTCAGTTCATTAGAAGTGTTACTTTCTTTTTAATCTTAAAGAATTCAAAACGAGACAGAAAAGAAATGCTCAAACGAAGTTTGTGATTGTAAGTATCATACTCACCAAAAATGAGCATTAGAACTGGTATCGTGGACAGAAGCATCAAATATACAGTAACCACCCGAGTCTTGCTCACTACTTTCAACCCTCGAAAAACGAAGTCGCAAGTGCTGTTTGCTTCCAGATTCGCGTCCTTCAGTTGAAAGACGACTGAGCCATATGTTACGCCGGTCAGATTTCCATTATCCATCTTATCTTCCGGTTCCTTGACGCTGCTATGGAACAGTCGGCGTGATTCATCGCCTGAGAACTGAAAATTAACGTAGATTCGTATTATTACGTGACTGTGATTAATCGCTCGTAAATATTTTATATAAGCCGTTTCGTTAATTACATATTAAAGTGTTGAAATCCGACTGTCTCAAAATGAATTCTCAGTAATTTATTAGCAATGGGGATAATATCTTGATAGATTCACCCTCATGCACATTTAATCGATGAAAAATAGCAAACTACTTTTCACCTTCTATCCGTTGTTCGAAAATCTTTATTCAGATATTAAATGTCCTTTTTCTCTATGTATCTACATAAAAAAATTCGTATAGTCATTTGCAATCCTGGTTCCACATCACGAACGTAATATACCTCGATAATTGCTCGCGCATTCACAGTCGTGAAGCGCTGCATCGATTCGAAAATTTTTTACGAACCGGCAATTTCTTCGGCTCTCACGGGGGTCCTTCTCATATATTCCGCGTATTTCGCGCGTATTGCGGAGGCACATGGTAGTTCGTTCTATCCTCCGTAAATTTCGCGTGAAAAGTGGGGGATGGAAGGGTCGTTCGGGTATATGGAATACTGGACAGGATGAAGGATACCCGCGCGTGTCCCGCTGCGAAATTGCCGTACGCATCGTTACTCATTCGCGAGTTGGTACCAGCGACAGCACGCAGTTTTCGCGTGTGGAAATTCAATAACCGAGCCAAAGACCCACCGAAGAGTTTTAGGTCCCCAGAAATTGCTTTCCCGCAAAAAACTTACAAGATATAAATATGTAAAATCCCAGTAAGATCCCAGTAAGATCCCAGCTGCCCTTTCATGGTAAATCAATGAGCGCGAACTGTGTACACCGTTTTCTTTCAGTGAAAGAAAATACCGAGGCGAAGGGTCGGGGTGAGTCGTTTGTTTATAGCCTGATATTCGGGAGTTAATCTTTGAGAAAAGCAATTCGTAGATTGCTCGGACAGCCTGCACTTTGGCTAACTGGATACTCCTGAGGAGGGTACAAGGGATTTCGTTTTTACCCAGAAAGGTGAGCGTGAGTTCGTTCTTGCGATACGAGAATATTTCTGAAGAGGACCCTCAATGACTAGGGAAAGCTACTAAATTTTTCGAGGTCCTTCTATAGATCGTAGTAGGACGCGTAGTACAATCAGGCATGATGTGATCCTACACGTGAAGGTAAGTCGAAAAAAAGGCTAAAAATTTTTCGTTTAAGACCTCGTTTTCGAGAAAATCGAAATCTATCGAGAACGTGTGCAGTCTTAGTCTCTGGACCTTAATCCATTGGACTTTTATTTGTAGGGTCATATCAAAGAAATGGTTTACACAAAAAGCAGTGTACATGTTTTGCAGCTTAAAGAAAAAGAATACAAGCATTCGATTAATTATACCTCGGTTGTCACACTGGGTTGACATGACTAAAAATTTGACTTTGAAGTAAAATATATTTGAGGCATCATTGAAAATGATACTATTGGAGCCATGTAGTAGTAGTTTCAGGGATCCTAAAATATCTATTATTCGGAATGTCAATAAGGACGTCACTTTCAACAGTTCATTCAGTAATGTACACGTAAAAAATAAAACTGTTAATAAATGTTTCATCAGTACGTATTTTGACATTGTCACTGCTTATTAGTAGACATCTGGAAATAGTCAAGTGCACGTGTGTTCGATAGATTTTCAAATTCGATTTTCTCGAAAAAGAAGTATCCGACGAAAAAATTTGATTCTTCGTTTTTCGACTTATTTTTATCTGTAACATCACCCCCCGCTCGGTTGTACCACGCGTCCTGCAATACTCTGTATAGAGTGATTGAAAGTAAGAGTAGAAACCTGATAGATCATTCAAGAAATTATTCTAAGTGCAAAACATTATGTGAACATAGATCGTATTATCAATACTTCAGTAATTAGGGCTGTCTATCATTCGTATGAATAGTGTGTTGTATCGTGTATGGAAGATCAACGAATACATTTTAAAAATTTATTACAAGATTCAACGGTAAATGCATTACATTTCGTATCTTTATGTGTTATTTTAAATCCCTGGGGTCACTTCGTGTCAAGCATGCTGATTTTACTATGATAAGAGTGACATTTAAAAATATTCTTGCGTGAGTTATGACATGCAAATAATTTGATGTTCTTTATAGTCGTTTTAAATCATTCTGCGCGGTTGTCTCGCGGTTAATTTCTCACGACTCAGCGTTCGTGTTCAAACGATTTTCAATGACTAATAAGAATAAAAATTTTGAATGATTCAAAGGTTCACTGATCAGTCCATTACGATAAATGCGAAAAATCAATCTAGGAGACGTAATAAACAGTTTGTTTTCTATTTCGTGAATATTTCAGGACTCGTTGTAGTCCTGAATGTAACAAAAGGCTTCATACCTGTGAAACAGAGCTGCTTGCACGCCTGGAATCCACGAAAGCATTCGGGCCATATCCCAGATTCATCTGGACTGTGCTTCCGCCCGATCTCACATTTCTTGAGTTTATTTCCTTCTCCCGGTATGGGGATGAATTTCGGCTGTTCGTAATACCTGTGCGCATACAAATGAGAAATTTGCGTTAAATTTGTACAATTAACAAGAATCATCGTCGAATGGTAATATTAAAAATCACAGAAACAAAAATTCAGTGTTTAAAATCGATGGAAACAGTTTTCCTACAGAGTCGAGCAGAATGAATGGTATCATCGCATAATAGGTGATTTAAAAAGGGAAAACAAGTGAGAAACGTGGAATATAATTCTCTGACGTAAAGCTTATTTTTCGAAAAATTTGATTTTTCGTGCGCGTTCATTTGAAAAGAATTTTATTCTCACGATCGACACTTAACGATTGTTTCTGCCTATTTGGATATTTATAAACTTTAATAAAATACGAGTGGCGTGCTATTTTTAATCTTCCACAAATTCATAATTATGAGATGGTTAAATTGGTGGGAAAGATGTAATAACGTAAATACCGCTCTCTGTATTCTTAGTAAGTAGAGAAAGCCCGTAATAGTCAGACAAGCCAGGAAGCCATACTAGGAAACGTGTAGCTCGACGAGAGTTGAAACTTGATATTCGCAAAAATTAAACTTTCCAGGGAAAAAATTTCATTTTACATTTTTTATTTGTTTATGCACGTAGAATCATCTTCTATCCTCTTCTACCACCTGTTCGGAACAATTTTGCGCAGAAAACTTTTAACATTCCCTTCCAGAATTTAGGTACTTACATGGTAATACACTTTTTATGGTAACCGTATTATCTTTGGCAAAAAGTATTCGTTAGTAATTATTAAAAAACATTAAAACTGAAGCAAGTATATCTATTTATTTGCATGAATGATAAAAAGACAACGATTAGTGGAACTGTTGGATCACCTAAAAGTGTCGAACAAAGTGTCTTATTTTTATATTCAAAAAATGAAGATTATCATAATACTATTTATACAGATTTCAACAATTTTTACCCTTTAGAAAACACACAGAAAAGTAAATAGATGGGAATGCGTATTATTTTGTTAATACTTCCATCAAAATATAAATTACTTTCATTAAATATTTTTCGTCAGGATATCTCATTTTTGTGCAATCTGAACTAGTAACGAACATTTTTTTTCCAGTTAACATAATGATATTTCGAAGGAATAAACAATGTTCTTTAAGCGACTATCAACATTCCTCTCATAGTATAACTGCTTATTTCGTTTCTTATTCACTTTACAGTTAGTTACCTGAGTTGCTAATAATTCACGATTAATCCTCAAAGTATTGTTCACAACAGAACAAAGTGAACGAACTACGATGCGAACTTATAAAGCACTGCATTCCTTCTATACACGTGCTTTCGAGTTGTGACGACATCCAAACGGAACATTTCTTCCAATTATGTCGAGGAATTTATTCTCTAGAATGGACAATATAATGAAGACCCATCGAGAATTTCTCTGTGAACGAGTTGCTTTTATCCGGATCGGTATGAGAAAGGTGGATACTCGTCACGCGAGAAAATCCGGTTATTAATTTTTCCTGTGAGCTCGTATTCCGTCGCCGTGTTACTGCCGCGCGTACAAATATGCGTTTTCCATTTACGAGTCTCCGGGGCGCAGTCTGTCGGAAAGGAGTCGATTACCCCGGAAACGGAATGGGGGCAAGGAGCGCGTAATCTGTGACGCATCGATAATTTATTGACTTCGATCGGCACCTTCGGGTATACGGGGTGTTAAGGGGTCATGCCACTGTGAAGCCCTGCAAGATTATAATTTTTGAGGAATTTTTGTTCTGTCAACGAAATGATCAACATAAATGAAGTGTTGTCTATTTATTAATACACTTATTGAGAGTATAAACAAATTTTTTTAAACTTGTAACAGTTTTTTTTCTATATGTATTGAACTGAATGAGCGTCTTGAAGAAATCATGTGTGCTAGCGTAGGTGATCGTAGGTGAACCCGGGAGAACGAAATATCAGAATCCAAAAATTTTAACTGCCTTTTTATTGGTATGAGTGTCGTTATTGTCGAAACAAAAATTATTTTGACCATTAAAAAATAAACAAAATGGCGGAGGTTTAAAGGTCAAATTTTGAAATTCGTTAAATTTTTTAGTGATATTGCATTGTAAAAAGCATGAAATTGTTGATCAAAAAAGGTGTCCGTGATCCTTACGATAGTCACTGATGTGCTGACTAACATGTACAAATTTCAGACTGATTGGTCAGATAGTTTTTTTACGGTTTTGAGCACATTGTTCGCCTTGAACGTGTATTCTTTCAATTTATCGGGTTGTTCTATAAATAGCCGGTGAGAGATGAGAATAAAAAATTGTGTCCATTTTAGAATTTGTTTTATGTTCTATCCCTCTTTAAAACATTGATCCTGAAAGGTTCAGTTGGCCAGTAACACGACGGACTCTGACATCTGTGCTTCGAGCCCCAAGATTTTCCTTCTCCGCGATGTACAAGATATTTCGGGTCTACTTTTCAATATTTAAAAAAAAAAACTGAAAAAAGTAAAAACAATGACAGTATGTCCGATTTTCTTCCATTTCGCAGTAATGAAGTCTTAAAGTTAGAGTACACTGTCGGAACAGAGTTCAGATTACATATATCAGTGAGATCGATACAATCATACAGGTCGTTGCTCTGGATATTTCATTGTTCCATTTAAGTTTCCCTGTCATCTTTTAAAATATTTAAACCTATACAGAGTTAGTTGTGTAAAAGAGAGCACCTAAATATCTTTGTTTGGATTAAAGATAGAAGAATACGTCCACGACAAAAGTTGTATTGTTCAAGGGGGTAAACAGGATAAACAAAATTTTTATTTGATATTATTTGCATCATAGTTGTAGCTTCATAGTGTGTTAGTATGCTGGCTGCTTATTGTTATGTTATCATATATGGTTCATCATAAAAAATACCATTAAAAATACATACTAAACCGTATGCGACGATAGAACAGAAAAATTTTGTAAACCATGGTTATCGGTGCAGTTCGTGCACAGATAGTGGCTTGCTTTCAAGTGACACACACAAAATGGTCAAACAGGTAAAAATGATGCACTAAATCATCGATGAGTGTTCGAAAGCTAATCAGCACAGAGTCTTCAGACGCCATCCCCACCGCTGGGCGCTTGACTGCTTTCACGGGGGACCCCCGCAGTGGTGGGAATTTGCCCAAGTGGAGGAGCCTTCGAACAGTCATTGATAATTTACTGTACTTTCATTCGAATACATTGAAAATATAACCATACGTTTTTCCCAAGTTTCAAAGCACATGAAACAGGGTAAAAGGAAGGTTATTCTTAAACAAGACACATTCACGAAAATCTAATATCCTAGCTACCGAGCGACGGGTTATCAACTTCAGTTCCCATCGGTTGCGCCGTAGGCGACGCTGTCGCGCGTTTATATCTAGAATTCGTCGGCGGAACGAGGCAACATTCACGGCCCCCTTGAGAAATCGCGTCAAGCCTTCCTCTGGTAATGAGCATCAGATTGCCATTAGGCTCTCGATACGACGAGATGCAATTAAATCGCGAGAATCTCGCGCAGGTACGTCGTGCACCGTTCGAACGGGGGTATGGGGGAGAACCGTCGGAATTGACACAATTAATTATCTCGTCGAAACACGGCCCCCGTATCGCCGCCGTGCCGGCTGATCGAAATATGAGTTAACGCGTGCGAACGGTTTTAATTTCCACGCAGCTGTTCGCGATGTGGACGGGACGCGACACGGTTACATGTATTAGGACGAGTGTGCGAGAGCTTTGATGAGTTTTCCTCTATAAGAGCGAACCAATAATAATGTTAATTATAATTTAATGAAATACATGATAATTCTTTTATAACATAGGCATGTATATTGAATAGAAATTTTGTATTTTAATAAACAAATTTCTGGAATATTATTGTTAATGAACTTATACAGGGTGTCTTTAGTTGGATAGTACAATTGGGCTGGAGGTTATTTTATGTGCAAGAACAAGTCGAAAATAGGAAATAAAATGTTTTCCTATGATGCTTTATTTCGGAGATAAAAGAATTTGAAAGTCTACTGGATACGCGCGCCATTGAATAAGACTTTGATAGCGCGTCTGTTCATCACATTCCGTTTCTACTTATTGTCGTCACGAGTACACGCGTACTCCATAAAATTTATCTAGTGACACGAATGCGTTTATTACCCAAACAAATAAATCGTGGTAGTAGAAAATAATAATGACCTCCTATTTTCCAAAACATCTCGGTCATCCGAATCGTCCCCTTCACCAACAGGCTCAGATAAACAGAGTCCCACTCTGCCAACTTACAAAGTCTCTTTACTACTCGTTCTTATTACCAGGGTTACTTTTTATCACGAAAACAGATTCTTTGTCCACCCATACAAGAAGACACCCATAAATTTCCATACACTGATCCTCGAACCGCTTCAATCGACCAAGACTTAATATCCAAGGAATACCGTGTCTCGAATAAGGGATTCGGTATGCAAGACGTAATCCCCGCGATTCCTACCAGGGACCAATTCTTCTCTTCCTCCAGTCGTGTCTAATTCCAGATTCGACAGGCGGGTATCCCCGAACGAAACCGTTTCCCGATTGGATTAAACCCTCGGGGCTAGCATGCACCCGAGACGACGTCGCCTAGGTACAAATGGGGATACTACTCACCGTGATCAGCGGAAGCCCGCCTTGGATTGTGCGCCATTAGACTGGTCTTTGTGACTCGTCTCTCCGGCAGTCCTCCCAGGCTGCCCCTCGGGGTCCTGTCGATAACTTCGTTAGCGCCCATCGATCCTCTGTGCGCGTCGTTCACACCTATGCTGCCGCGGGACGTTCTTCCGGGCTCGTACGGCACCATCGAGTTCCGTGGACTTTCATTCAGGTAATCGGAGGCTATCGAACCGCGCGGACTTCTCTGCGGGCTACGATCGATCAGCTCCATGTTCGTGATACTGCCTCGAGGACTGCGCGACGAGTTCGGGACCAACGAGTGTCTGGGACTGCGACATGACACCGGATTGTCGTTGTCGGACATCAACGAGGTTCGCGAGCCGTTCAACGGAACCAAGCTGTTCCGTGGGCTACGATTGTGCACCACGTCCGGTATCAACGAGTTCCTGGGACTCAGCGCAACGTCAGGGACCAATGATTGTCGCCAACCATACGTCTCTCGAGATGGACTAATCTCGGGGACCAAGCTATTCCGAGGACTTCGCACACCGTTCCGCGGGCTCCTGTAGTAATCGTCCGGTAGCAAAGAGTTTCGAGGGCTCCTGCTCATGTTCAGTATGACCTGCGATTCACCGTAATGGTCTCGGTCCGGCAGCATCCTCAGGGTCACTCCCTGGAATGGTTAAGGATGCAGTTTCGCGGACGATCGGAACTCGGTCGGTGAAGTACACCGCGAGAAACTTGCGCATTTGACATGGAGAAGTTTGTGGAAATTTAATTCGAACTTGTACCGCCTGGTGCACTGTATACACACGTAGTGTTGTAGATTGCAACCTTCGGTGAAGTTTTTTTTTTTTGTGGGATTATGAGTCTTATTCAGCGTTCAGGTCGAACTTGTAACGATCGTTCTCGTGGGGTCTGCTCTCGTCGTACTTCGTCAAGTTTCTGTTGAGGTGTGTATGTGAATATGCGTTTTTGATTTTGATATCGTGTTGGACAAACGTATTGGGTGAATATTATACAGGGACTTAGGTTACAGTATCTATTTTTGATCTGCATTGCTTCATACGCATAACGTTTCGAAGCTGAGATTAATTTTTTCAAATGGAATACGCCGTGTACCACAGCAATTATTATTTCTGTTAACCTAGTATCTCTAATAACTAGACTGCGAATGTTCATGTATTTATAACATCTCTTACCTTAGAAAATTTAATAAAATGAAAATATTAATGTAGTTTAATACTATTTCAGTGTTATTGCAAGTGTAGTAAAGTCTCCAGTGCAGAATACAAAATTCCGTCTCATTTTAATTTTTAGGTATTTGTATATTTGAAATTGTGAATTTGCACAAACTTCCGCAGTCAATTAAATCGTCGAAATCCATTCCACAATTATACACTATTTACTTTTTTCTCTTTAATGTCACTTCTCGCTAAAAGAAATGTACGAGAAGGTCAAGCTGGATAGACCGGTGGCCACATCGATCGCAAATAAAACTGTACAAGACAGATTCAATTAGAGAGCGATAAGTGAATGATTAACAAACCTGGTCGAAATCAGTTTCGACATCGAGGGCGATGTCGGGAACGACGCTGTTCCGCGGCGATCGCAGCCGCTCCATAGTTCCTCTAGGACTCGTTTGCGACAAATCGATTGGTCTATCTGTTGCGACGCTCGCACGTCGTCCCCTCGGTCCAGCGACCGGCGTCGTTGTTCTACCGCGCCGCGACGATGCACTTCGATACAACATCACAGGGGCATACTCTCATCCCTGAAAAATAAAACAACCAGTCCCACTTTAGTACACTCTGGTGCGCGTTGAAAATAAACATTGTAGTGTTTCGAGGCGTTTGTAGTACGCACATTTAACCCTCAAGGACAACAGACGGTTTATTCCGTACGCGTCAGCGGTACGAAGTCATATTTCTCTAAATTTTGTTCACTCGAAAGATGTTTTTTTTTTCATCCTAATTATCTGCCATTAAAAATAAAAAATTGTTAAATCTGAAAGATAAAAAAAATGCCTAGTGCTGCCTTTTGAGTATTACGAAGAAAAGGAATTTCGTATTCACGATCAGTAATAACCCTTAACCCTTTCGGTGCAGCAATACTTTTGACGAATGGGTCACGTATGCGCGGAATATTCTACTGTTTATGGCACTACTACTACTCATGAAACGTGTATACACGTCCATAGCACTCGTATGGACCAATTCATGGAACGTGTATATACGCTCATAGCACCGAAAGGGTTAAAGGTTAAGGAACAGGATAATTGCAGCGTTGTAATTTCATAAATCCTTATGTAATGCAAATAGTGTAATTCCTCAAATTTGTATGTAATATATGTACATATATACATATATTATTATTATGAATATTACAAAAATAACCACTATCTCTATTAATGCCGGGATACTCGGCTGTGGTACGATGAAAATATATTTTACATTGAAACAGAGTGGGTTAAAACATCCTCGAAACGATATTTATACAAGACCACCAATAATTTGATAAGTCTTGTAATTCTATCAAAAGGGAGTGTAATATTATCGAGTCATGAAAGTTTCAGATAATTACGGCTTCCTCGTCCCGGTTCGGACGACAGGTTCCAGAAGAAACCATCCGTGATTAACGAGACCTTTCGGTGACGTTCCGGGACGAAAGCTAATCAGAATACTACTTCGTTTCTTCATAGAATATTTTTACTTGACGGGCATGCAAAGTGTCCACGGGCACGAAACGGGACCCTTGGTGAACGCTTAGCCGGGAATACGTAATCAACGGTATAGACTAAATGTCCCGCAAGGCACAGAACACGCCAGATACTAAATCAACTGTCTCCCAGAAAGATGACCTAGATTATGTCATCTTACTGGATGACCCGAAGCTAGAGAAGCCTAGATTGGTTTCCATCGGTTATCCCTTTGCTTCCCTTCTCAACCGTGAAGTCCAGTAGGACCGAGATAGTTTCCTGGTTGTACAACAGTATTTCACCACGATGTTGCTTTGAGACATATCACTTTCTTCTCTTTGATATAAATGACAGTGGATGGTAAACTAAAACTATTTTAAATAAATTTCGGAACTTCATTTTCAATACTATTATTTGAAAATCCAAATATTATCGATTCATTTAAAGTAATACCAAATAGCTTTTTATGAAGTAATAGCAATTTTTCGTTGGTATGGAATAATTATAAGAATTCATCAAAAAACATGGTGACTTTATAGAAATTTATCTATAACGGTCAGTACATACAATAAAGATATATGCAAAACCTTAGTTTACCAGGTTGGATAGTTTCCTTTAATTGAATTCCAAAAAAAATCACATTGAGAACGGGCGTTTACACTGGAATATCCCTTTAAAGCAGTGTGCGACGCAACCCTTCCGGGGTGATCATTCACCGGGACACGGAGGACGCGCGCAAAGGCGAAGTCGTTTCGTCGGGTAATTACATTCCGTCACGGCCATCGGATTTTTAATAACTCGGCGGAGCCGGTATTCAGCTGCATAGAAGATGCACCGTCGGTTATGATTAATGTCCGTACACACGGCTTGAAAGACGAATGGGTCTCGTTTTACGTAAACCGAAGGGAAATTTCGCGCCGCCTGTTGCGTAACCTGCACCTAAATTGTCTCCGTGATGGCAGAGTTATTGCCACGGAGCGACGCGGACTGTAGAACCTCGAGTCGCTTTCAAACGTGTACACGCGATCGACGGACTATTGACAAATCGAAATCAATTGGTCATTCGACGAACTACATTGCTTAGCTATCGAATTAGACTGAAGTAACGAGGACAGGTAATTTACTAAGGGATGCATGTTACGCATTACTCGTACACCTTGTACTGCACACTTGTACAGAGCATTGCAACATTCGTGGCATAACCGAAAGAAGGATGATTCTACGTGAGAAAATAACAACATGTTGAATATTATTTTCTTCGTATGGAGCTTCGTTTTTGAGGAAATCTGTTTTGAAAATCCATCTGGTCATAGGGTTATATCCCGAATTTGGTAAGAGATAGAAAAAATACTATATCATACACTATATCAAAACACTATAGGATCTAGAATTGTACATTCATAGTGTCGATTGTTATTTCACTAAGAATTATATATCTTTCGTATAATTGCATGGCGTCGGTCGCCGATGATCACAACAGTTAATGTATTAATGTCACTAACTTCTACTTTAAATCTTACTTTCTGCATTTATCTATCAATTCGGAACAATTTATAATTTTATAATTTTTTAGAAATATTTATTGTATACGTTTCAGTTGCATTTGTTGTTATTATGTTGCGCAAAAGATAGTAGACCAAAGTTCAGTAGAGTTTAGTGGAATTTTTCAAGGTAAACAAGCGTTCGGTAATTTACAGTCGACAATGTGTACAGCGGCGGCACCAGCGAAGTTGTCGAGCAGTTGTCGAGTCGTTACCCGCGCGTCGACCATAAAATTGAACGACATCTCGAGTGATTCGAATAGCGCTAATTAAACTAACGACTGGAGGAGACGCACGCTCGTAAAACAGTTTCCCGGGGCGTGAAAGCATCCGACGGTTGGCGAAGTGTGGCGGCGTGCACCTTGAGGGAAAGTTTGTCAAGACCTTAAATCAAAAGTTCCACCAAACAAGCTGTTGCCTGAAGGGCGATATATAACGTCACCTTGGGTAAACATTATTCACCAGAGAATTGTGTCAATAAATAAATAACTGGCGAAACGTTAGCGAATGTTGTCAAACTTAATGGCCGAAGAAAGGAGAATATTTTGTATCGACGAAATATGGAATTTGAAGCATTGATTTAAAACTGCACGATTTAAATTAGCTATGTCATCTGAAGAAAAATAAAATAAGCAGCAGAACGGTTGACGACCACGTGTTTAACAATAGAAGTATTATGTTATCAAAGTTAATTCTCTGTGAAAATCTTCAGATGAATGACTTAATTATTCGCCGAGTAATACATATTATAAGCCAATGATAATTACTTCGGCGAAATTTCTATAATTAATGGTAAACACTTTTCTCATTTAAGTTTTCTCATTTGAAACAGCACTCTCGCGCGCCAACCTGGTAAATTGATATTCATCGATGACAGGTACCTTCGGTTCATTATGATACCAGCTATCGCAAAATAAATCAGTACAACGACTGTCGGAGCGGAACATGGAGTCAGAAATAATGGAAATTTAATCTAACGAGGATAATGACTACGGCGACGATCGATACAAGGACACCAGTGGCCCGTTAATCGTTAAACGAAATAAAATCAACCAGTCCGTAAGCGGCGAACTAACAATCATTTCCTACTTCGCCAAAAACCTCTTCGTATACCGCGAATATCTCAAGATCTGGGGAAGAAATTTAATCCCCGGATGATGACACTTCGCTTCTATGAAACGAGGGGTCGGTACTTCCGATCGTCAAACAGCAATTCTAATCAACCGAAGGTGCCGAGCCACCAAGTTCGTCATCAAATTCTCTTCTCCAAATTCAGCCACTACAGGAGGGTGTTAATAAAAATGTGGGACACTAAGGTGGATTCTACGTGCTAACCTAAGACGAAAATTAAAAATGACAAAATTGCGTTCGAGACTTCATTTCCGAGTGATAAAATGTTGAAGATACGTAGTTTTTGAACTCAAAACATAGTTGTTGAGACAATACGTATATCGAAAACTAGATAGGATTATGAGAGTAAAAACGGATAAGCACAAATGATTTATATAACAGAAAATTATAGGGTAAATGTCCCAATTTCTGCCACTTTAAAAATCAAACTAATTTTTACATACTTTAACAATTCATTCAGTACCATAGATGTAGGTTGAATAGTAAAATTACGGATCGTTCTTTAGTATGATTTTACCATCACTTCCTAATTACATATATTTACAGATATATGTATACATATATTTCTTTGTTTTTATGCAAATCAGTATTTTTTGTACACAATTCTTTATACGTTACATTTTTCTTATGTGAAATAAATAAAGTGACAGTATCGGGAACACTGGCAGTAATTGCAAAAAAAAAAACACAAGCACCTTCTGTCCAACCTAATAGACTCCACCCTTTGAAAGTGTCCTACATTTCTATTAAAACCCTGTATACCCAAAACCAACAGCCTACGCGTCTACCACTTTTTTCCATCTTGATACTCGACCAAACTGTTGACCAACCTTCTGGTGGTGCACCCCCCCCCCCCTCACGGTTTCACAAGAGAGATTCGATTAACGAACCGTTGGGAAGGCCCCTTATCGATCTTCATCCTTCTCATCCCGCCCGTCCAAACCCACGGCTTCACGATGGCTTCTGCCGTCATTTTCCCGGGGAATCCATTTGTTTCCATCCGTGGCAAGACTTGACGAGGGCGCGGGACGAGCGCTCAAGAGTACGGAATTCGAGGCAATTTTCGATAATGGAGTGGTCCTCTTAGATCCCGTACTCCGCGTCATGATTCTTCTCAATTCCTATTGCGACCCGGGGGTTACCGTCGAAGACGGATTCCTCTTGTCTGACCATTTTCATCCTGCGCAGGTATACCGTGTCTATCGGTGAAAATGATCGTATTGTATGGGAACACGAACAGTTGGCCGATTGCTAGAACACTTTACCCGTTGCTTAGGGTGGAATATTCTTTGCACTCGATGTTTGTGCATATTCGTAGATTACAAAGGAAGGATGTTAATGTTATTTTTGTACTGATAAACGAATGTATGATAATAATGGTAA